ACTTCATTTGCCGCTAACTATTCCTATCGGACCAAAATAATACATAAGATAAGCGCGACGCAAAATTTCAAAGCTCTATAACATTGCTAGGCCTTTTGAGATTCCAGCAGAGACATATTTCAGACTCTGATCCACACTATACTGTCCATCATCCATAAGCTGAATTCCATCACCCGAAATCCCCATAAGTCGGAGATTTGCGGGCTTCTGTGTTTCGAATTATGGAAGTTTGACTGTATACATTTTAGTCTTATATAGGATTGTCCTTGATATAGGATGGTATAAAAATATCCTATATCAAGGCCTGAATCTATAAAAAATCTCATGTTTAGAATTTGTCCTGTTTATTTTTGCTTGTGCTTCCAATATTAGATTCCGACACATTTACATTCAGTATTACCATCAAAATGTTATGGATAACTTCTAACTACTCCCATAACGTTTAAATGCAGATCATTTTGGACAAGAAATTTTTAAATTTTCGAGGTGTCAATAATACCCTGAATAAATTTTTTGGAAAAATTTAATTCAATTTTTAAGAAAAATTGATTAAGAGGAATAAAAATTTCGAGGGTGTATTTGCAAATTACATAAAACAGATTTACGTGAACTTAGTCCACACCTCTTCTTTGAAACTTACCTTTCGTATCGCCATGATCGACATATCCTGGTGTACCGGCTATGCATAAATCCAATGATGAAACGACGAGTAATAAAATACTCAATATATATCCAAAATTCTTGATAATGGCCATGTTTAGTTGTTTGATGTTGTTGGTGTAATAGATAGAATTTTATCTATTTGTTGAGTAGCGTAGAGTAATCAATATAATTAAATCGCTGTCAAATTATTGTTGTTAAACTCTTCTTTTCGATTTTTGTTATTGTTGTTTATCACTGATAATAATTTGTTGTAGGGGTAATTTGTTGTATTTGTTTTTTTGTTTTATCGAATTTATGGCTTTCTTGCCAACAATCACTGAAGCGTAACACAAGTTTACAAAAAAATCGAAAAAAATAAAAATTCGCAGCAGCAGCAACAACAACAGTTGTTTCTTCAGTTTGACGTATTCACAAATCAATGTAGCGTAACGTAACAAAAGTTGTGACAATCGTTGTCATTGTAAAATGAAAAAAAATTAAACGATCGATAACGAATATCCCTTAGGAGCAGAGGAGGGATAGGTGCAGTATTTAGTTGACGATCTGGGGGAGTTTTTTCTTTAGTTTTCAATGAAATTCTTTGCCATTTAGAATGTCAAATAATGACAACTGGTTGTTATTATTGCAAATATGCATATTGTTGCATTCGTGTAAAGACTGGAGTTGTAACTTTAAAACAATTTTGAATAATTTTCGGAATCATTGTTTTTGTTATAAAATATATGTTACTGTACATAAATCTCATTAATATGTCTCGATTGTCCACAAGGGTATTTGTACTGCATTCATTTTATGGGTTCATACATATCCACAGTGGGTCTTCACGTTCCATGTAATGTTCGACCGACCAACCGAACGACCGGTTTGTGCTCCCTTTTTGTTTTGATTAACCAGTCTTGGTGCCTTTTTACTTTGTTTTGTTTAGTATTCTTTCTTTTTGATTATTGCAATGACGTTTCTTTGTAATAGTTTTTTTTTTTATTTATTTTGTTTTGTTTCTGGTTTCTATAGCAATGAATTTGTTATTGTTTTACACCTGTTGATTATCATATTCATGTCGTTGCTCATTTGCATCTTTGCAACTTGTTGGATCGTGGAGTTTTTTTTTTCTTTTTTGTAATGCAACAACTTCATTAACTTCTCAGCAACACACAATTGCTACACTCTTCTTTCTCTCATAGGTTATTTTGTTTTGTGCACTTTATTTTTATAAAATTCAATTAAACAACATTTGTATTAGTTTTTTTTTGTGCATTTATTTTCACATTAATTTTGAAGTTTGACGAAGGATACTACAAATTTCGAGACAGTTTTGTTTATTTTTTTTCTATTTAGTTTTTTTCCTTCTTCATTTTTCTCTCGCAACACAAGAATACCGACAAACACCGCGAATAAACAAATGCTTACTATTAAGCCGAGAATATAAACAACAACAAAGAGCGGGGAAAACACGCAATGTAATCGAAAACCAATTCAGATATTTATCACAATGACGATAAGTTTATTTACTTTTTTTCAAATTATTATTTTTTTAAGATTCACTTATTTTCCACACAAATTTCAATTCCCATTCAGAACAATAATAATTTGTAATTATTCTCACACAATAATCATCATTAATATTGTTGGTTAATTATTAAAGGAACCAAGTCAAGAAAAGAATACAAAGAATCGAACCGCGATCTCGCTTTCCACAAACACGTCCGTTTACTTCAAAACTTCGTTGACGAATGTTTTGTTGGGTTGGTAGTGAAGAGCGAACCGACACCAACCGGCCAAACAAGCAACCGACCAACCGATTTGTTAAGTAAACAATTATCAAAACTCTTTGAAGAGAAGAGAGGGAGAGTTTGTGAAATAAAAGAGAGTGAACTTGAATTTCATTTAAGAGCGTATGATGATCTTCGAAGTGCTGGTTTCGAAAGTCGAATGTGTTTGTGTCTTCGCTTAAAGTGGTGGTGTTTTTGGATTATGCGTTGCCACACCACATAATTTAACAAATTGTAGTTAAGAATGGCGTAAAAGAGGTTCAAACATGAAATATGTTGAGAAAAGTAAAAATAAAATAATAGTTATTGAATGAAGAGCACCAATAGTAATAGATAGAATTTTAAAAGCAATACAAAGGGAAAAGTCCTGTTTTTAGTAGTTAAATAAAAACTAATTAGAGACAATAGGTCAAATCGCTAAATTAGTGAATGATAGGAGGAACCCCATGTGGGGTCTACCCTTAAACTTAGGACAATATTAATAACATTTGGTAGGGAGAGATTTTCTACCCAATTGGAACCCAGAATATAAAATTACAACCAATTCGGTTGCAAAAAAATATCGAAAATTTTCCAAACATTCCAAAATGCGGATTTTGGGTGGTTTATGGAGGCTATTCTAAATAGTGAATCAATATTTATAAGCGTGTACGCAGAAATCTAGGCCTATGTTAAATATTGTGTGCTCTATTGTGAATTCCAAGGACGGACATCTCTGTGTAATATTATATTTGGACATGGCTTTATGGTGGAGGGTATAAAAACAAGTAAAAAAGTGTCAGTCCTTATGCTGCCTATGCTTTGCGGAGGTCTTCGGAGTAACACAGAGGTTTTATTATTCGCTTTATATAAGGAATATGTTTATTTTAATTCCAAATTAAACTAAAAAACTTTATTAAAATAATTGAAACATAGTAGAGGCGTTGCCAGAAGAAGAGGACCGACGGTTTCCGCCATCGGATTTGATCTAGACTTGGAAATCGGACATTCCATTCGCCTGATATTGAATTTATAAATATTGCAAATTTTGACTATTTGTGGAGGAGATACAAGAATGAGTGGACTAATGGGTCCCACTCAGCAAATTTTCGGCATAATTTTGACCATTTTGTGATGGAGGTAACAGGAAGAGTGAGCCGATATCTTTTAACTTAAACTAAGTTTGGAAGAAATATTACGATGTGTAAAGTTTGGATGAAATTGTTTTCTCCCTTCGCACCAGCCAGTCAGACATGGAGACGGACGAATTTTGTAAAACCGACTCCAAATTTTCTTAAACGAATTTAGTCCAAAGAAACATAGCCATAAGCTGAGGGTATAAAAATTTCGTCCAGTTTAGAAACGTAATAACAAATTACAGAAACTCATGTTTGAACAATGGGCTAGGACCTTTAATGTAGCGAATATGACCTATGTACAAAGGTCCCGACCTAGACCTTTATTGAAAAATTTCAGCAAATATGTGTTTTCAGCCTTCACGAACGCTTTGTTCTCGCACTTCTCTTCAAAAATGAGAAAAATGGGCGTATTATTTGTATCGGCGCTATTCTACTTTCTGCGGATCAATCTCGAGTCTGTCCAAAATGTCGCGACAATTACCATCTAGAATCATAATGGCGCCGGTATCTTCAACGCCGTAGAATGTAATTTTTTGTCATTTCTCGATCATCAAAACAGATATTCTTATTGATTGAATATATCCCAGAACTCATGTATATTTTCATGGCGTCCTGATAATCCTGCGCTGCAGAAATTATGGGATGTGTATAGGTTTTTATAGATAATAAATAATTTGCTACAAATAATTGATTGCCCTTGTAGAGAACATGATTTACTCCGATCAATTTAAAATTGTTTAAGATATTATTTTTAAATCATAAAATAAAAATAACATTTTATGGTATATGAACATAATAAAAATTTATATTTTTTAAATTACGCTTCTAAAATTTAATAAGGATGACAAACTTTTAAAAACATTATTAAGTCATGTTTGATAAAAATACAATTTTTATGAGTTATTTATTTGACAATACGCATTATTTATTGACTTATGTCACTCTGTGCTGTATTACGATTTCATATCACGTACATTAGGCAGACACAGTGTCATTATGTACGAGTGTAAAAAATTAAATAAAAATTTGTTAATATGTATTTGAATATAGTTATAACTAAATTACAATAAAGCCATATATACATATCATTATTTGTTGTATTAACCATACATATGGAATTAATGTCTTAATTTAAACAATTTCAATTTCGACTTAAGTATGCTACATAACTATTATCGAACTTTTTTGTAGAGTAGTAGTTTGGAGACTGAGGAATTTCTATATAATATAGATATTATTTTGCTTAAGAATTTTTAATTGTGCTTCACAAAAAATATTTGATATAGAGAATTTTGTTTTTTTAACAATTAATTTAATTAGATTTTTTTTAAGTTTTAGAAAACTATATACTATTTTCAACCAAAAAAACATTGAAAATGTGTATGCAATTTTAATACTTTATTAACAATTTTTTAACTCATAACAAATATTCAAAAAAAAAAAAATAAATTTAATTACGGCAAACACACACACCCTTGCCATTGCAATAGCCACCACGATTGCCGCGCAACAAGCAGTGGGCAGCACAGGCTGAATGATTGACACCGGTCCCGCTCAACAAATCACAGGTGGCACGCTTATAACGGCCATGTAACTCCGGTTCCAGTTGCTTCAACGCTTCAGCTCCATGGACAAATTTCGCATCCTCCACAGGTGATCCTTTAGCCTGGCTGGCAAGGCAGCAAACAGCCACAAAGATAACAGCGAATACAACAAAGAATTTCATTTTTTAGTTAAATTTAATTTATTTCTCTTAAGAGATTTTCTGAATGTTTCTTTGAAAGATGCTTTAGCTTTGATATCAATCCCATCTGACACTATTCACTTATATAGGAAATTTTTTCCACTGCCTCTCATTGTTTGTGCGGTCAGTGTAAATGCGATAAGCCATGGTTTACTGCTGGGGAGCACCGTTCCATTTTTGGTTTTTGTCTAAGGGGATTTACTCTGGTGTTTGAGTGGCATTTAAATATATGGAAAATAAAAATTATTGATTTTTTTATTATTATTGAAATTCATGAGAAATGTCTGATGCCTAGATTTTTCTCGCTGGGCTTTTTTTATTATCGGCAGGTATATTTTTTGTTTATTTTTAATATTTAACATCTTCTGAGGTAATTCATATTTTGTACAATGGATTTAAAATGCCGACGATTTTCAATGGATTGGTAAATGAAAACTATATATGATATATATTTTTGCATACACCTAAGTCTGTTTTTACACGGTCTTTTTGTGATTAAAGAAAAGTCCTTATTTTTGATGGCGGGCATGATAACTCCTCTCTGGAACATCGGAATCCGAAAATTCCAACGGTGTTAGAAAGAGTACATGTCTGGCTCTGGTATGAACTAGGATTATTGACTTCGCTCTAAAATAACAAAATGGTGGACCTTTGAAAAAATATTCTTGAAAAATCGCCGATTTTTTACCAAAAACCAATTTAAAAAATAATGAAGATCTTCACCGATTGGCTCTATCCTAGTTCATATGATAAACTCACAGAGAAACGTGTAAAAAAAATCGATTGGGTTATTAGTTTTTGAGTTATCGTGCCCACCATTCGCAAAAAAATGTTTAGAGAAAAACGCGTTTAAAGTTTGAGAAGCCATTCAGCCGTCACTTGATGCTGGCACAACAAATCGGCTATATCTTCAAGAGTTCTTGAGATTTTCACTTGAAATTTTGTAGGGGCATTCTTGAAGTAGTGTAGATTCGAATTATATCAACAAAAATGTTGACCCCGAGAATGGGGGGGTCCCCTTAAGTGAATTCCCCTTTAGCGCGAACAACCAACTTTTACTGGTCAAAGCAAATGTGAATAGCACTTATTTTGGGGAATTCCCTTTTTACACGGTTTTTTTACATGGCTTCTTCTGGAACCAATCTACCGTGTAAAAACAGACTGAGGTGTATTTAAATTTGTTATTCTGTTTGTAACACTTCGACATCGATTTTTATAATTTATGAGGTTCACGGTGACCTCAACAAATATGAAATTCTATGTCGACTTAGTTATATCCGTCTGTCTGTCCAATAATTAAAAAATAACTTTGGAATTTGTCCATACTTTGCTAATACTCCTAGGAGGTCCGGTATTGAAAAATTGGGAAAATCGCTTCATATTGTGGAATAGCATTTAAATTTCGGTATTTTAGGCACGATTTTCAACTTAATTGGTAATAGTATGGTATTTTGGGTTTTTATGGTGGCCCCATATAAGATGCTACGTTATAGAAAAGTTCCACTGTATATAGTTTGAAGAATGAAAATAAAGTTTATGTTCTTAAAATCACGACATTCATTTAAAATTTGTCACGTTTATGCACCTTAAAATTCATATAAATAGCGTGGACATACATCAAAATAAGAAATACTACAAATTTACAATACCTAGTCATTAAAAAATGAAGTTCTTCACGTTGTTCGCGCCAATTTTTATAACTATATGTTTCTACACAAACTCCAGTGCTTTGCCTGCTTCAGATGTCCATTATGGAGTCGATTGTAAATTGCTGAGGGCTTTTGGTTATGGTGACAACCCCTGTCCGACACATTGTTCAGTTCTCGGCGCTGGTATGGGTTATTGTAATAAAAAAGATCTTTGTATTTGTGGTCTATAAAATCTACCATTTTTTATTAGGAATAAATAAATAATTACAATAAATCTATTTAGGTAATACTTGAATGGTCCCTTATCACTTAGTTGTTATTTATTCTCTCAGAAAAAGAGGTGGGACTTTTATATAGGGGTTTTGCTAAAGATTGGAACTGTAGTAACATTTTTTGCGCAGAGGTTATTTGACCATAAAGAACATTTAATGCAAATTACAGCCACTTCCTTGGGAAAATGCTCTTCTGACCATCTAACGGGATCGAAACCTTTATATGGGGGCATTTTCGAAATACCGACTCGTACCAAACATTTTCTGCGCAAAAATTGGTTTACCCACCATGAACCCAAAATGCAAAATTACAGCCTCTTCGGCTCGAAAATGCGTTTAGTACCATAAAAATTCCTAAACCGGACCTGGACCGTTATAAGGGCGTTATGCCCAACCATGGACCTGTTTTGAATATTGTCAAAAGGAATGACAAATTTAATATACAGCCCACCTTATGGTCCATTATATAGATTATTGGCGAAATTATCCATAAATCTGACTATATTTTCTAATGTTTTATAAGCATGCAATATACCTCTGTATTAAAATTTGTAAACATACTTTTCTTAAACAAAAATGCCGATTAATTTTCAATACTCTTTTTTTATTAATTAATAAAAACGTCCTTAGAAACTAAAATAACATCTCATTTACGGCAAACACAAACACCCTTGCCATTGCAGTAGCCGCCACGATTACCGCGCAACAAGCAATGAGCAGCACAGGCTGAATGATTGACTCCGGTACCGCTCAACAAATCACAGGTGGCACGCTTATAACGGCCATGTAACTCCGGTTCCAATTCCTTTAAGGCATCAGCACCGTGAACAAAATTAGCTTCTCCTCCATCATTGGAAGCAGGCGATGCACTGGACTGGCCAATGAAACAGGCAGAAACAAAGAAAACAGCAAAAACAATAAAGTATTTCATTTCTTTATTGACTTTGATTGATGGAAGAACGGATAGAGTACGGTTGCAGTGTAAAACAGATGAAGTGTTGCGGTTCTCAGATATGCTTGAAAACTGTTGTCAACTTCGATAGCATTTTGAAGTATTTATACTCCAGTGGCTTGTTATGCGTTTTGTTCTGCTCATCTTTGTCACATTGAAAGGGGATTTTTGTTCGTTCTACATCATCATATGGGTCGCTTGGGGGGATTTACGATTAATATGTTTTTTTTTATTCTGGGAAATATGAAATTATTCTTCCTGGTGGTAAATAATAAATATAATTAGTTGGCTATACAAATGATTGATATGTAAACATATAGGCCTACAGAGGTTGCCAATAATTAATTGTTTTCTGTGGAATTTTAATTATTAAATATGTACTTCTGAGGCACTAAAGAATCAGTAAATCGATTTTCCATTTCATACCAAATATCAAAATTGTATCTATATCCTTCCAACAAAACGTCGATGAATTGGAAGTACCTTGGCGTGTTTTTGCTAAACTTTAATGGAAATATGTTTTTTTTTATATTACTGGTGCTATCCGGCGTACCATATTTAGTACAAATTTCCTAAAATCCAGTCACATTTAAGCAATATAAACGATTGTTTAGGCCTTGAAAATGTTTTTCGTTCGATCCTAAATTTGTATAACTTCCATGGGAACTATGTCAAAACATATGTAAAAAAAGTTCAGCCAAAATGTATTATCCTCTGAGATATCAAAATACAATATTACAGACATTTAGGTTGGGAGTCCAACAAGGGAGTCTGTTATCTTCTGAATTCCCAAAACTAGTAATTCTAAAATTATAAAATAGGCCAGGATAACTTACAGCTTAACTTTTATATAAGGATGGTTTTATATTTTTTTTCTATAATGTAGTAATACGTCTGGTCCCAATTGTTATGTTATATACAAGTTCGCCTGCACTCACATTATTCATACTCAAACAAACCACACCGTAAAATGAAAATGATCAGAACTATGTTTATGTTTATGTTAGTGAACGGGGAATAACAGCGGACACAAATATAGCAACAATTGGAAATTCACCGATTTCTTATATGTAGATCTGTATTATGGCAATACGTCTTCTTTGAATTTCTAGCTAAGCGGTTGCCTTGTGATTCCCCCACCTAATACACACCACAAAGGAGATCAGTCACCCACAATGATAACCTCAAGACAGCAAACTAGCAAACAAAGCCCAGCCAAGTATAAATAATGCAAGCTTAACAGAAAGTAGACAACAATTTTAAGACTGCTTCCGAAGACTTCAAAACATCAATTCTTCAGCGTACATTCTCAACAAGAACATAAAAAAAATGAAATTCCTTATTACAATATTTGCTATCTTCTGCCTTGTTGCTGTAGCCAGTGCCACTCCACCAAATGAAGAATCCAACTTTGTCCATGGATCCTTGGCCTTGAAGCAATTGGAACCGGAGTTACATAACCGTTATAAGCGTGCCACTTGTGATTTGTTCAGCGGTTTGGGTGTCAATCATTCAGCCTGTGCTGCCCATTGTCTGTTGCGTGGTAATCGTGGTGGCTATTGCAATGGCCGAGGTGTTTGTGTATGCCGTAACTAATGAAATTTTGGAAATCGTTTTATCATAAAATAAAATAGTTTATAATAATTAATAATAATATAATTTATTTATAAGAAAATATATTTTGTTTTTAATTGTAAGAAGTGAAGGGAGGGAAACTACATGCGGATCATTTTCTAAAATAGCTAAGGTCATGCAGGAACATCAGCTGCAAGGTCTATTAATAAGGCCATCAAGGAAGACCAGCTGGATATCAATTTCCTCTCAAGTTTGCTGTCAAAATCCTTTTTTTTTTAATTGACTTCCTTTATGAAAACGTAAACAAAGTCCAATTTTTTGACATTGGACTTGAGAAAAACAGCTGACTTTCGCTAGCTGGGTGACCTTATTAATGGATATCGATCAGATGCTTCTCATGTTTGCTGTCAAAATTAATTATTGTGAATTGTTTTACATTATGAAAACGTAAACAACATCTACATTTTTAACATTTAACTTCATAAATATAATTTTTCCCGCTGCCTGGTTGACCTTTTTAAAAGGCCATGAAAAGCGATGAACATCAGCTGATTCTTAAATCACCTGTAAAAATACATATGCCTACCACTGTGATTAAATAACCTAAAACTGTCAATATATTTCATAAAATTAATTTAATTAATTAATACGTTTTCATAAAATTAATTCAAAACAAGTTCTATTGATATCAGCTTCAAGTCAGGTGCTCAGCAAGTTTCCTGTCAAGTCCAGTATTATGAATTGACTTTACATTATGAAAACATAAATTGCTGCTTAAATTTTTGACGTTAAAATTAAGAAAAAACTGTTGAATTTTACTTTCTGGGAGACCTTGTAAAAGCCATCAAGTAAGATTTGCTGTCAACATCCGTTATCGTGAATTACCATTAAACTTGAGAAAAAACTGGGTGGTAAGATCTATTAATAAGACCACCCAGCTAGTGGAAGTCAGATGTTTTTTCTCAGGACTTATGTCAAAAATTTGGACTTTGATTACGTTTTCATAATGGATGTAAATTCACAATAGCGGGTATTGGCAATTAACTTGAGAGGCAGCTGGTCTCCCTGGATGACCTTATTAATAGACCGTGCTGGGTGCCTTTATTAATAGGTCAACAAATTGTATATATAATGGTTTCAACTAAAAAAGGTTGTTTTCTGCTATTTATCTTGGGAGCATAGGGCTTTCATAAACCATCGCCATCTTTCTCGGTTAGTTGTCGTTGATTTTGCATCTTCCCAAGGTTAAGGTTATATTGTCATAGTTCATGTTCGGCCTCGATTTCATGATCCTTGGGGATACAACGTGTTCATATCCTACGTTTAATATGATTTTGAATTGGTTAGTTAGGTTCCACCGCTCTACGTTACATATGATGTTTGGCCAGAATATTCTGCATATGATCTTGAGGCATTTGTTTAGGAATATTTGAAGACTTGCGTGATGGAAGACACAAGCCAGATTTCACAGTCCTATAAAATAATGCTTCGAATATTTTAAACCAAAAATAGAAGTAACATTTATTTAGAGAATACATGGAAGATGATTTTGTCGGATTTGGAATTTGTACTACCCATTAGTTTATCTCAATAAAGAGAAACGCAAACTATCGTTGAATCCCAAATAAAAAGGAGCTCAGATAATCGATAAAGTGAGCTAAGGTATTACCCAAACGGGTCTACAATAAATCAAAATGATTCTAAAAAGTCTCTAAATCTTCCCCTATTTCTTTGTATGCGCCGAAGATACTGCAAACCTCAAAGATCATATCAAATCTAAACACAATTCACAATTACTCATGCATTGGTTTAAAACCAAAAATACAAAAAATCACAAGCCTTATTTTTGCATTTCAATGCAATCGAAGACACAAGTAATTCCCCATTGAAAAAACCGAAAATGATACGGTCTTCCCCCATCGCCTTAGCGATAAGACGACTGCCTAACCGCACAGACAATAATACAACGACGGAAGTTTTCTATAAAAGCGAACCCTCAGAGATGGAATTGATATTAAAACCAAATAATCTTCCAAAACCTCAAGACGAGAGAAAATTACTGAACAAAAAATAATTAGTTTAAATAAAATGAAATTCTTTGCTGTATTCGCTGTAATCTTTGTGGCTGTTTGCTGTCTAGCCAGCCTGGCTAAAGGATCCCCCCTTGAGGATGCGAAATTTGTCCATGGTGCTGATGCCTTAAAACAATTGGAACCGGAGTTACATAACCGTTATAAGCGTGCCACTTGCGATTTGTTAAGCGGTTTGGGTGTTAATCACTCCGCCTGCGCAGCCCACTGCTTGTTGCGTGGTAATCGTGGTGGCTACTGTAATGGCAAGGGTGTTTGTGTTTGCCGTAATTGAAGTATTGATATTTAGTTTATGCTGTTATTTATAAGGAAGTTAAATATGTTAAATAAATAAGAAGATAATTAAGGAACAAAGAGATTTTGTTTTTCTTAAACGTGAGTGATGATATTTGATTTTTTTTTTTTTTTGTATTTTTAATTAAAACAAAAAGTACTTGATTGCAGTCACATTTGAAATCGCTCCGGACTATTCCCTCTTGGATCCATATTTTATAATATTCATAACAAATATATATATGGAATATTACAAACGCAATGTTCCGTTGCGATAAGGTCACGTTTCGGATTATAATCTGCAATTTAAGGAATATTATTGTGAATTGTTGCTGTATGACCTGGATGACCTTATTTATAGGCCTTGGTTGGTTTCAAGCATGGCCTATTAATAGCGTCAACCATGAAAATCAGCTATTTATCAAGTTATTTTGAATTGAATTCAAAATACGCTATTGTGAATTGAATTTTTTACAATAAATTTAAGTCAAAACAGATGGTTTCGCCCCCTTCTTCTTGGAAATAGCATTTGATAACAATTATGTTTAAGACTAAAATTCCACGTTAGATGTTAGAACGAACTTTGATAAAATCGAATGACCGACTTTTTTTAACAGTTATATCGGTCATATGTGCCATACTAAGTGTAAGATGTCCGGACAAAATTGTATCCTTAGTAAAGCTCCATAAACAATTTCAATCCAATACTGTACATTTAAGACTTCATGTAATTAAAAGTGGCGCCGTACAGCGTTACCGTTTTCTGAGCTTTTATTAGATCGTCATCGATCTATGTCTATAAGTCCGAAAAAACAGAAATCGAAATATAGTTTTTGAAGAAACAGTTCGAAGCAAATGGTCGGAAGTTTTATTGGCAAACTCAAAATCAGATACGCCAATGGTTTTCGCCGCCAGAATATGCTGTTGAAACGATTAAATCCTAGTTTTTGGAGATGTCTCAATTAAAATGAAAAAATGCTACCATAATTTGTTTGGCGCATAATAAAAAATAGCATACTAATCTAATTTTCATTATTAAACCACAAATATTTAATGTTAGCTCTCAAAAAATTTGAAGTTCACTCGTGTAGTTATCGTTATAAAAAAAATAAAACACTTTTTAGAAAATTTAATTAAGTATTTTATAATATTTACAAAATGTCTAGTTAATATTTATTGTTGAATTTATATCTCAATTTTGTATTAATATCTCATTCAAAAACACTCCAAATATCTTCAAAATATTTGCTATTGTTATTTCACAAAATTCACTATAAATACTGACGCAATCTATAACTTTCGATTAAGAAGACTTTCAAGTTCGTTTGCAATAAAATATATTGAATAACATTTCCATAATGAAATTGTTCGCTGTATTTTCCATTGCCCTTTTGGTGTTGTTTTCCATCGTGGTCCAATCAACTACTGCCGTGGAGAAACCTGTCAAAGAAGAAGTTCCACTGAATTCTGTAGCCGATAAATATGATCGTCATCATGCTATCACCTGTGATTTGCTAAGTTTTGGTAATGGCGCTATAGGTACAGTCGCTTGTAATGGTCACTGTTGGTGGCTCAGTAAGAAAGGCGGCAAATGCAATGCCAAGGGTATTTGTGAATGTCATTAAAATTATTAGTTGAATAAAACGAAATTGAGAAATAAAATAAAAAATTGTATTGAAATTAAATGTGTATTATTTTTTTTATTATATCTGTTATTTAATGGTGATCGGTACTTAAATAAAATTATAGCATTGAAGTAGGAGAATAACTGTTGATCGCGGTGGAGAAATAGTACGAGAATCATGAAAATATCTAAAAAGGGATGGGTTTTTATAAGAGACTATGCAAATTTTCTGCAAATATATCTATCGAACACGAAGACCTCGGAATAACAATTTATAGCCTCTTCGGATTGAAAAATAACTGCATAGATGATTTACCCTCCAAGACTCCTTAATACCACTTTAGTTGGTATACCGAACACCAATTTCAATATGAAACATCCTATTATATCTTAAATATATCCATCTCTATCGAGATATCAACAAACGGTTGAACGCTCATATCGTTATCAAGCGACAAGAGAACAAAATTAAGAAATACATCTCCCTACATATGAAATTCATCCGAAGACCCCTGATACAAAGACATAGAAACCGCAAAGACTCGACAAAATGCATTTTGACAAAATAGTTTATGAAAATATATGCAGGGGGAATCAGGCATAACAGATGCATGTTAAGAATAAAAACGCCAATACGCGAAAATGTCTGTATAAAATATAAATAAAATCACAGGTCTGCACTCAAAATATATGTTTCAGCTTAAGATATAGCACTAAAAACATTTAAGGGAACCCCACCCATTCTCGATTTTAATTTTTCAAGATTTTCAATGGGCTGCTAAATCAATACCAATGCTTGTTAAGGTTTGTAACTTTGCACATATATATTTGAAAATTTAAAAGAGAAGAAAAATAATTTACAAAAAAAATTTGTTTTTGTTTTGTTGTTGTTTTTTGTAATTTAAGAAAAGTCCTTATTTTTGATGGCGGGCATGATAACTCCTCACTGGAACGTCGGAATCCGAAAATCCAACGGTGTTAGAAAGAGTACATGTCTGGCTCTCGTATGAACTAGGATTATTGACATCGCTCTAAAATCAACAAAAGGGCGGAACTTTAAAAAAATATTTTTGGAAAATCGCCGATTTTTGACCAAAAACCAAGTTAAAAAATAAGGAAGATCTTCACCGATTGGCTTTATCCTAGTTCATACGATAGCTATACACTCACAGAGAAACGTAAAAATTTGAAGTCGATTGGGTTATTAGTTTTTGAGTTATCGTGCCCGCCATTCGCAAAAAAATGTTTAGAGAAAAACGCGTTTAAAGTTTGAGAAGCCCTTCAGCCGTCACTTGATGCTGTCCCAATAAATCGGCTATATCTTCTTGAGATTTTCATTTGAAATTTTGTAGGGACATTCTTTAATTAGTGTAGATTCGAATTATATCAACAAAAATTTTGACCCCGAGAATTGGGGGGTCTCCTTAATAGTGTTCGCTCTGTTGTTACGATATCATAACAACAGAGGAAAAGCCAACTGTTGGGAATTGTTGGCGTATCGATTGTCCTATCTTTATACTTTTATGTCTTTGCCTGATATTCTCATCATCAACACATGAGGATAACAAAATAGGAATTGCAGGAAATATCAGAGAGGAAAATTGGAGCATTAAATAATCAAGGACCCCAACCACTGCACATCCGGAAGGACATCAAACGGTACAGCAACGACATCAAGGAAGTCATTCTATCTGGCATCGACCGATTGTCACTTGCTACATCGCTAAGAACTGTTCACACTTAACTGTCAACCTACAGCGGTAGCCGAATCTGAGAAGACCCTGCCCAGAAGAACCAGAACTATCTTACCTCAGCTTCGGTCATGATTGTCAGTCATCCTAAATGAGTATCAAGCGAGAGTCACTGGGATCGAAGATATTTGTCCCAGGAGGGGCCGCATGATACAGGCCATTTATTTGCATGTCCAGTTCAGCGCTCGGATCTCGTATCATTGATGAGACCAGTAGAAGTGGTAAATTTACTGCAGTTCCCAACCTAACATTTTACCACTAGAAAACCCTTCCCATAATCCCATCACTCCACACATAAACCAATAACCATCCATAATTTTCCGCATCACCATACAAACACATCATCCACATTCAATCCTGCAACCAATCATCCGATTCCATGCACAAACAATAGTAGACACGAGGCAGCCCAATTGTTACAACAGGAACAACCACTGCAAAATTCAAGAATTCAATTCTCCAATACCTAGGAGAGCATACAGAAGAACAATTATCTACTTATTAGGAATAAATTATTTACAAAACTCACATCTGGACTAAATAAGAATGCGATGCTTTGTGGAAGCCCTAGGTTCTCAAGAGAAGTATTAAGAGAAGAAATAAAATAAACTCAAAATGTAATAGTTACAGAAAATTTACACATCTATTGACAGGAGTTTCTTTATTCTCCAACATTTTTGATCCCTCAAAATAAATTATTTGCTAAAAAATACATTTAATACACTTTCTGTTTTTTGGATACAAACATTTTCATCATTTGCTACTTTTCGCTGATATTACATAAGGTATGTGTTTGTAACAAGTATATAGAGTATTGTCCACTCAGAATATGTCTCAAAAATTAACCAAATAAATCTCAATTAGTTACAACAAATTATTTGTTTAGAAAATTTTCGATTTTTTAACAAATTATCTCAAGTATCTTCTTCAATACAATGTTAATAGAGTTTAAATTACGTCTATCAAAAAGAAAAAAGAACAACTTAAGATTTTGCAATAAAATTGTATTCCAAATTTTATATAAATACTGCACGATCGAAAGTAATAATCATTCGCAAAACCTATAGCTATCTGATCAAGGAAACATAATGAAATTCTTCAAAGTCCTGTCCTTTGTGGCCTTTGTATTGGCCTGCTTCGCCTTCCATTCAACCGCTGCCCGTCCAGCTGATGGTGAAGAAGCTGTAGTTGTTGCCAATCAACCAGATCCTTATGGTCGTGTTCCGGTCATATCTTGTGATTTACTTAGTGCCTTTGATGTCAAGGATTCGGTGTGTGCTGCCCATTGTTTGTTGTTGGGCAAAAAAGGAGGCTTCTGCAATGGCAAAGCTGTGTGTGAATGTCGTTAAGGATTTGAATTTGTGAGAAAGGCTTTTTTGGAATACAAACATAAAAATAAATGCATAATTGAAAAATTATAGCGGTGGTTTTATTTTTTGGGTACATTGAAGTAAAATGACAATGATTTATGTCGTTTATAGTATAAGTGTCGATCATCGCATCTAATTGTGAAATATACTTTCTGTTTACAGAAGATCTATAAAAGGTCCGTTATATGCAAGATATAAATTAAGGATCTCACCAATAAGATATTATATCTATGGAAGACTTTTAGTTGTAAGATCTGTGTGTT